ATTATTTTAATTGAAAATAATGATAATGTGTCTGGTGAACATTTGTCATTCATTGATGTCAAACTTAGTTGTGGTTTCTAGTTTTGAGATTAAAACAACAATCAAAACAATTCGTGCCAAATGATGTCATGGTTGATGGTATATCCACACTGGTCAAATTTGTACAACTAGCGAAACACCACTTACCAAGTGATGTCACACTTGACGGTATTGTCACATTGATAAGACTGCTACATCCACAAAAAGAATGATCTCCAATTGATTTTACACTCGATAGTATAACTACATTTTTCAAAAAGCAACATCGACAAAAACAGGCTTCACCAATTGATATAACACTTGGTGGTATTATTACATTTCTTAGACTATCACATTCCCAAAAACATCTCTCACCAATTGATTTAACACTTGATGGTATTGTCACTTTGTTCAGAGTATCACATCCATAAAAACAGTTGTCACTTATTGATGTAAAACAGGATGGTATATCAAACTCAGTACACTTATATTCGTTGTTTAACTTTTTATTGTTGATCATAATTACACTTGTTGGTATTGCTACACTGCTCAATGTTTCATACCCAAACAAGCATCTATTTCCAATAATAACGTCTATAAAATGTGGTATAACTACACTGGTAAGATGATCACATTCACTAAAACAGGAGTTACCGATTGATGTCACACTTGATGGTATTAACACACTGCCTAGCCTACAACATCTATAAAAACAAAAATTACCAATTGATTTTACACTTGGTGGTATTGTAACGTTGACTAGACTGCCGCAGTAAATAAAACATTCAATACCAAGTGATATAACTTTTGATGGTATAACCACATTACTCAAATTGTTGCATCCATTAAAACATTCATCATTAAGTGATGTGACACTCAATGGTATCACAACACTGTTTAAATTTGTACAGTTATAAAAACACCATTTACCAAGTGATGTTACAATTAGTGGTAAATTATTACCATATTTATTTCTATCATTATCGGTATAAGTAACATTCTTAAATTCGATGTTTTTATTACTGTTTGTGTCAACTGTTGTATAATCAACATTGAACCACACTACAATTCGATAAAAAACGATTTTCAATTCAATGTTTTGGTTTTTGTTGATATTTTCTGTTGTTCCAGAGTGTTCAGTATTAACAAAAAATTCATTACCAAAATTCTCGTTTTCTTTATTCCACAAGTGAAGTGTCTCGATGTTTGTAAAGTATTTGATAGTTTTGTGATTCAATGGAATTGGATTGAAATGAAACTTCTCTATGTTGCCTTTGTACTTTTTGCATACAAATTCAATGTTGACAAGGTTTTCTATTGTTGTGAAATACTTTGAGACTATCATGACATGGTAACTGTCAAGTTTGGACATCTATAATTATTAAGTGATAGTTTGAATTTTAAATACTGAAAATAAAAAGGAAGTTTATATATTTTTAGATGATGATTCATTGGTTAAAACAATTTCAAATGATGTTTTTGATTGTTGGTAAAAAAATATTTTACCAAAAATACACATTTGTTTTTAAAAATAGTCAATATAATAAAATAATAATTATTTAATAATAAATTTATAATTAAAGTGAAAAACACTGAAAATAAAATAAAACCAAATTAAAACAAAAAACTTTATCAAATAAGTATCGTGATTCTTCGAAATTATTTTGTCTATCACAACACAATTATTATTAAAAAATTGTTTAATTTATTATAAATACTTAATTTAATAACTTATTATTTTTTTAATTAAAATAAAATTAAAAGATAAAGAAATATCTCTTAATTTTATAATATACCTATTGACTCACTTTTTTATTTTATTACTCACTTGCCAAAATTTGACTCACTACTTCGCTTTTGACTCACTTTTATAAAAGTAACTCACTAAAAAAACAATTTACTATTTCAATGGTTTTTTAAATAATAAAATAAAATAAAATTTCTTCAAAATAATAAAATATAGTTTTTATTTAAATTGCTATATAAGTATCCACTCAATCAAAAACTTGACCATTTGAACAAATTTTCCATTAATAAAATAATTTATTTCTGGATTGTGATGAAAAAACAAAAATAAATAACAAAATAAATAACATTTTGACTTACTTAAATTATTTTTGTTATTAAATTACAGTTTTCATAAATGAAAAAAATAAAAACAATTCGATTAATTGATTTAAAATATTACTTATTGTGTTCAATAATTATATCGTTGTCAACACGAAAGATATCGACATACAAATACAATAAAGTGAAGGTGTTGTTACACATTTGTATTTTATATTACATTTTTTAAAAATGTATTAATTTTTATTTTGAACAGTTAATAAAAAATACAATAAATAATAAATGAGTTATTTAATCAAAGATATTTGAATTAAACGAACAATATTTTAAAGTAAAAACAATGAATAATATATAACCATAATGATAAAATTGTTTTTCGTCATCTAGAACAATTGCATACATTTGTCATAACCAAACAACTGGTTTAATTGTTTATAAATTACAATAATACATACAAAAAATCAACGAATAACAAAGACACAATAACAATAAAGTACACTTTGACTACAAACACAGCTAAATATAACGACCATTTAATCGTGTTAAATATTAACATGTTCGAACATAATCTCATTTCAGAATATGATCAACACGACATTAAACGGCTTACAATTGTTTATAACCAAGATATCATGTAAAATATCAATGACAACACAAACAATGAAAATAATTAATTGGGTTATATTGAATAATTTATATTATGAAATTAATTTATTCAGTTAATTATTTAAAAAACGTGATTTAAACAAATAAAGTCGATTAAAAATATATGTATAATTTTACACGTTTAAAGTTGTCTCTAAGTTGTATACATTTTAATTAATTACAAAAACAAAGTTAGTGGTATTACAAAATAATTGATTGTTTAAATAATAATAAACATTCATGTAGATTATTATTGATATGTTTTTTGATAAAATATTAAGAGATAAATAATTTAATTTCTGAATGAGGCTAATGTTACATAATTGTGACATATCGTTTGTTCAATGAAAAATATCAAAGAATTTGTCGTAGTATAATACTTTTTTAAATTAGTCACTGCGTCGTTATCCACAAATTTTATACAACAACTTTTTGTTTACAATTATATACAAGTGTTATTTATTTTTTTATTTTTACTTGCTTATCATAATAAATTTTTCATCTCACAACACACAAAATGAAACCATTGTATTTCTTTAAAATCACAACAATTATGAATGTAAAATAAAGACTAATTTAATTATAATTTGTTGATGATTTTATAAAAAAAGAATCATAAAAAATTACTGTTTACTTTTACATTTATTATGAAATATCATACAATTTGAATAAAAAATAAAAACTTTTAACTTTTCCAGTACCAGAAATCAACAAAATTTAATTTTTATTTTTTTAAAAATTTTCAAAAAAACAAAACCCAATTCCAAAATTCTGAAAAGTTGACAGGAAAATTACCATTTTATAGTTCATGAAAGCCAGTAAAAATAATGTATAAACAAATAACCGTCATTTTTTTTCAAAACAACAGAAAAACTGAATAAGTGAGTAGCAATTTTGTATCGAATATAACTATTACTTGTTGTTTATAATAAAAAATAAATCAAAAAGTATAACAAGTGTTAAAAATGCCAAATGTTTCGAAGATACGAAAAAGAATTTAAAAATTGAAGTTTACAATTCATAAAGTATAGTTTTTTATTATATATTTTTTTAATGACAACTAAAACGATTAATTATTATAATTGGTTTAAATTTAAAAGTATAGTTTATTCGTTGAACCCTTATGTGGGGTTATGTGTGTTACATGCTAATTCATTGAACATTTTCACTTTTCTTTTTGTCTATTTCGTGTATAATCATATCACTCTTCTTCATTTCTGTTATATAATTTCGTTTTCGACGCTTTTATCGTTTATTTTGGTTATAGACAAAAGATATTACATCATAACAAGTATATATAAAATGAAAATAAATAAACATCAACAAACATCAGTCCAAAGCAGATAAAAGTTGTTCTTTTCACTCATTATCTACTACGTATATTTGTTCAAATATATTTTTGTGTGTTCATTTGACTGTGTATATTCATGAAACACTGCAGAATTTTACCCCCTCATAGTTATTGATAATTAAAATTCACTCAAAAACAAACATTTAAGATGAAAGGTTTACAAGTACATTTTTGAGAATTACGAATCTGTTTGTTAGTATCTGACAGAGCACATAGAAACTATAAACAAACTATTACATTTGAGTACAAAAAGTTGTATTTGCGTGCTTGTGTATACATTTACCCATTCTTCGTTAACATGTTTATGTTATGTCATCCTTTTGGTGTTATTTCCATATTATTTTTCAGTTCAACTTTCAGGGTTGTTGTTTATATTTATTTTTATTTAAAGTATTTTTATAAAGTATAATGAATGTTATTTTGTTTTAAATGTTATTATAATATATTTTCATTAATTTAATTTGAATTATGTAATATAATAATTAAACTATTATAAAACCATTATACCAACATTCGTGTTACAAAAAAACATCCAAACTCGTTCTTATCACATGGAAGACTTGATTGTTGGTGACTACAAGTGGAAAGCAATGGGCCCCATCAACAAAGAAAAGAAAAAGTTCAAAAGGAAGGTTGCGGAGGTGGGTGCTGACTATAAAACAGAATTTTGTAATTCGACTGCTTCTGACTTGTTTTTTGGGTTTTTTGACAAAAATTTAGTCCAAAAATAACAGCATTTACCAACGCCAAATTATTAGGAAAAAAGTAAACCCCAAATAACAACAATAGACATTATACGATATTTCGGCATTTTACTATATATGGGAGCACACCATGACATAAAGAATCCAATTTCCGAGCTTTGGAACGAAAAACACGGGAAACCAAATATTTATGGTAAAGCTATGCCCAGAAATGTTTTTCAACTTATCAATGCTAACATCAAGACTTACGATGTCACAACTTTTCCGGATGAAGTTGAGAAAGAGAGTTGTTTTATAGGTGATGAAGTAGAGAGTGAGGACAGTGCATCAGATGAAGAGGAAATTCCAGAGAATAAAGAAGAGACTGATGAAGAAGACTATTTGAGTTGTGATGAGTGGGTCAAAAAACATCCTGTTGACCCGACCGAAGAGAAGCTAAAAAAGGATGTTGAAGTGAGACAAAAAGTAAATGATGAAGAGACTATAGAAAAGGGGTTAATCAAAGCATCAAACACGCCAAACTCGAATGACAAGTTTGGAAAAATTAGGGAAGTGTTGGAAGCTTTTATTCACAACTTAGTGAACAACAAATACTTTACACCGAGCACCACGCTATTGGTTGATGAACACCTTTGCGCATTCAAGGGAAAGATATGGGCAAAGGTATTCATCAAGTCCAAACCTCAGCGTTACGGCATCAAGTTTTGGGTTTGTTTTTTGTTGTAAGAATAATCAATGAAGTCGGAGATTCACGGTGTTGAGAGATATACATCAGTAATTGACTTGTTGTTAATATTGTGTTTGATAATATGTTCAATGAATAACAAAAAGATGTGCTGTGATTGTGGAAGTGGTATGGTTATAAACCTACAGATGTACTGTGGAAAATGCGACAATAAGGAAGAAAATCAAGGATTTCGGGTGACGATAGATATGGTAGCTCCACAATTGTGTATGGGAAAGTTTGTGACAGTTGTATGTGACAACTTTTTCTGCAGCTTAAGATTGGCACATTATTTGGCTCAATATGGTTCAACATTGCTTGGGACTGTGCGAAAAAAACAGAGTTGAGGTACCAGAAGAAGCCAAGCAAATCAAACGGTATGACCCCAATGATGATAAGAAAGCTACTACAAGTAAGGCAGATTCAACGGAAATGTATACAAAGGGTGTATGCAAACTGCTTTCTTACTATTACGAAAAAAAGACCTTCGTGCTCATTATGACGACGATGCATAATGCTAAAGAGTTGTACGCCGTTCAGGAGCAAGTGAGGGCAAAGGATGGCAAACTTGTGAGTGTACACAAACCATTGTGATAAAACAATACAATGCGACAATGGGAGGTGTTGATAGTGCAGATCAGATGATACATACTTACACTTGTAGAAGGCGCACTTCAAGATGGAATGTGAGAATACTTTATGATTTACTTGACATCGCTGCCCTCAATGCCTACAAGGTATATCATCATCACCACGATAAGGTAGACAGGTTGAATTTCCTCAATGAATTGACAGAATCATTGATGGAAATGGAGTAAATTACTTCTTTGGTTTTATAGGTTTTATTATTGTTAATAATCTATTTATTTTCTTTGTTATTTTTCTGTTTCTTTTGTGATCTCTGAAAATCATTTCTCTGTATCGTACAATATTCAAAGCGTTTTTTACATATTTATAGGGGAGGGGCTTTGCTTTTTTTATAAAATTATTATTATAATAAAGGGGTGGAAAAAACCGCTTCAGGAAAAAAACCGCTTTTAATAATTTTTGGTGAATAATGGTAAAATGTTTTCTAAATGTTATTTGATTTTATTTTTTTATTTAAACAAAAAGAAAAAAACATCATTTTCATTTTGCCTGAGCATTTTTTCGAAGTGTTAAGAAGAAGGCAGTTAAAGTCTATTTATATTACGGTTAATAGTTGAGTTATTACAGAATTTATTTGTAAGTAAACGGGATATTACCAACATAATAAAGATATTTAACCAAAAATACATTCGTTTTCAAATAAATAAATAAACATTAAGTTTGATAATTTTAATAAATAAATAAAACTAGAATGAATGTTGTTATCTTCCTTATCGGCTTTTTCCTTGTCGTCACTTTAAATTTATCACTTTAATATCATTTTCTTCATTGTGTTGCTGTCTAATAAACAAACAAAAATTGTTTAACTTCGCATTAAACGTTATATTTTGTAATTTACACTTTACAAGTTCTCTTTTATACCCTTCTCCATTTTTTGATTATTAGAACTTTAAAAATTTATATTTTACAGATTTTTATTGCGATAAAACGCAATAATAATAAATAGAAAATTTAATTAAAAAAATAAAAAAATAAAACCAAGTTATTTTTTTCTTTTCGAGGTTTCTTTTCATTTGAAATTTTGTTCTTTTCATCCTTTTTGATTTTCATAAGTTTTTCAATATCGAGCCTGTGCTCTCTATCAGTAAAATTTTCAATGGAGACTCTAACAGTTTTGGTTTCTTTTCTTTTTGGATCCTTACCAAGAAAAGAGCAAACCTCTCTGGCATAAGACATGTCAACTTTTGCAACACCTTTAAGAAGGTCTACAGTGTTGAAGTTGGGGTTGACACGTCTCATGTTTTCCAACTCTTCTTTTGATGGGTGTTGAACCACGTATATTATACCAGCCTGTTTGAAGGCGCTGGTCATTGTTTCGCCATCAGACACTACTTCCCATGAGTAAACAAGCTGCCTAATTTTGTCTTCCTCTGAGAGCTTTGCAAATTTTTTCAATGCATTTTTGAACTCGGGTGAGTTCATTTTGAGAATTTTCCCGTTTCTTTGGACCTTTTCGTCACCCTTTTCATTTTCTTTTTCACTTAATGAAATTTTGTGTAACATCAAATTGTTTTTGTCCTCAAGGAAAGTTTTTTGTTTCCCGAAAATTCCCAGATCCATAGGCTGACATAAATGGGAACTGTGGGGACTTCCTTTATAATTTCAACACAATTTTCCCGAAATAACGCTTCAATTTCATCACTGAAATGGCCCGAAAAGCCGTCAATAATTAGGTACGCCTTTGTATCAACTCTCGCACCCATTCTGTTTCTTTTTTCCTTAATATTCGGGAAAAACACTTGTTTGAGCCACAAGGTGTATAATTCCGTATTTAGAACACCTGATTTTTGGTATCTAATAATAGCACGACTCTTGAGTTCCACAATTAGCTTGTCTTCGATGGTGAGTCTTTTGGTAACAACAAGGGGTATCATTTTTGTCCCATCTAGACAACCACAACACAAAAGACTCGTTCTAGAACCATCTCTGTCGACTTCGTTAAAAACTTGCTCCCCCGATTCGACTGACATGTAGACAACTCGGGTTCTTGAATCAACCCATTCATCGAATCCAACTTCATCTAAGTTAAAAACAAGCTCAAATCTGCATCCATCCATTTTTCTTTTTAATTCCGAGTAATACTGCAGGATGGCAGTTTGTGATACCTCTGCTCGTTTTGTTTCCATAACTTGGGCTTTTTTTGTTTCAATTCCTGGGATTAATTTAAGGACTTTATTTAATTGCCTTGTTCCCGTTGTTTTGCCGAAATTTTCAAACATGAAAAGTCCAATTTCTTCTGGTTTTGCTTTTTTGGTTTCTTTCATTTCTTCTGCTATTTTTAGAACTTCTTCATCTGAAAGAAGTCGTTTTCTTCCCTTTTCCGAAATTTTTCCATTTTTGTCTTCTTTTCGTATTTTTTGAATTTGGGAATTCACACCCGATTCCTTAAAAGTCCCGAAAAAATACTCAAGTGCCACTCTGATTGATTTTTTAGTTCCTTTAAACTCATTAATTGGTACATTAGAAAGATAGTTTAATGAAAACCGCACTTGCTCTCTAAAAGTGGGAAAAGATTCTTTTTTTATTTTTATCTCGAGGTTTTGGAAAGCTTTGAAAATAATAGGGCAATTAATTAGGTATTGTTCAGCCCTTTGACTAACAGGAATTTTCGGACCAATCATTTTTAAACTTTCATGTTTTTGGAACTTTTTTTATATTCTTTATTTAATTGAGGGGGCTTGGAAGAAGGTTGGGACATTGTTTAAAAAGGTTTATAAAAGAGTTTATTTTATCGGCTATTGATATTGTTTTTTATATTATTGTTAAATTTTATTGATTAATTATTATTTTTATTTCAAAATTTAACAAGAGTTTTTTTAATCTAAAAATTTTATAGTTACTTTGTTTTGTTGAGATAAAAGACTTTTTTTTAATTTTTATTGTTAGTAAAGTTAAAGAATTGTTTTTATAATTTACTTGTATATTATCAAATGAAAAATAACTTTGTTATTAATTAATAAATTTGTTGTTTGTTAATATTATTTTTAATCAATTTAAATAATTGATGTTGCGATAAATAAATTTAGATTTATAAATTATTATATTTAAAAACTATTATCTAATTATAATTTAACCATTTATGTAACTAAAATCGTATTTTAGAAAAACTGGTTAATAAATAGTTTATTTACTATTATAAAATAGTTAAAAACGATGACTTATATTTTTCTTATTGTCAACTTAAATTGCATGACACCCATAGAATGATCATGAATTGATTCATTTGACACAACGTATCGAAGCCGTGGTTATAGTTGTGTATTTCTTTTAAACTTTCAAGTGTTGAGTAGTTTTCATTACTTTTCAGACTCACCATTTAATTCAATTTTTGAAACAAATTATAGTATAAATTATAATAAAATAATTAATGTTTTTAGTTATTTTCTTCTTCTTTATAAAAGTATGTGCGAAAATCCCAAAATGTTACATATATTTACTGTAATAAAATAAACAAGATAGTCCATTAAATAGTAAGAAAGTTGTTGAATATCATTATTTTATAATTAGTGGATAAAGGGTTAAGAACCCCTCTAAAATAAATAACACATCAACTTTCACTTTGGCACCATGTCTTCTTAATAACGTATTGGGCTGATAACAGTCATTGTCTCCACAATGTTTTCAACAATTTTTATTGAAATGCACTTTTGGGCAAGCATTTTGGCTGGCGGGAAAAACCGCTTCACTACCATTTACTTGTTTTATTGTATAGAAAAATAACGTTTTTGGCATTTTGCCGAGTTTTAAAATAAAAAATAATACGGTGGCGAAAAACCGCTTTAGATCCTTTTGTCTTTTCGTAACCAAATTCTTATTGTTTTATTATAAAAACTTATCCAATAACTAAATATTGCCTTTTAAATTGTGAAAAAATAGTGTGTTTTTTCTCGGAATGCAAATATTTTTAACCAAATGTATTGAATAACATACAAAAACACACAATAAACTTGAATTTATTTACCATGCAGAAATGATTGCCGCACTTTCGGATCGTCCACAGTATCCTCCCAGTCTTTTTTAACATTTCTCTGCACGGCGGGAAAAACCGCTTTACTACCATTTCCTGATAAAATTACACACAATTATAACCAAAGTTTCAATTTGCTTTAAATATTTGAGGTTTTGGTGGAAAAAGCAAAAAACACGAGAAATTCTAACGGACATGTGCAGCACCCTTTTACCGCTTCTAATAATTTACACAAAATTATCCGTCTTACATTGTTTTTATTGACCAATATTAATAAATTGCTTCGTTTATTTTATAAAAAGTTTCAAAAAAGCAAGTACAACAAAATAACGAGTCATTTATCGCTTGCTTGACAGGCACTTGAAAAACCGCTGGGAATGGATGCACTCACGTTCAGTTGGTGAGTAAGTCCAAAGTGCTTTTTTTTCAGTTTGGCTTTGAAATGCATTTATGAGCGAATGAGGAATCCAACAAGAGGGGGTGTGAAATAAAGGTGCAGTCTGTCTTTGCTGAGAGACATTGAAAAGTGGTGTATTAAAAACATGTGCTAGGTTATACATTTACTATGTTGCTCGAGAGGTAATAGATTTGACTGTTGAGTATTTGTTTAATGGATGATTAAAAAAATTGAAAAAAATATTAAAGAGTGAAAGGGGGTGTGAAAAAAGGTACACTCGCGAGTTGGTGTTTTTGAGTTTTTTATTTCTGCAAAAAATTGAAAAAATATTTAATAAAAAGTTCATTATTTTTTCACTTAATTATATTAATTTTAAGATGTTTTTTGGTTATTTCGACCTCAAAGAACAGTTTCGAAGTCAATCTTTCTTGCTCCTCTTTTTATCATTCGGCAAATCCAGCCTTTACTTTACATAAAAAATAATTTCCAAATTTCAATAACAAACATCGGCATCTTGAAAAAGTAATAGATATTCTTGTAAACCTTGTTTTTTTGAATCAAATCGAGGAAAAGGAAAAAAATAAACCATACAAAAAACTATAATCATATTATCATTTTACTATTAAATTATCAAAAGCCGTTTTTTTCCACCCCTTTACGTTTTTTTTTCAGGAAAAAAAATCAGTTAAATAACTGCGAAGCACTAACTTAGTTTTATCTAATTCCATTATAATTTGTTTTAATTATAATGATAGTTTAAATGTCAAAAATGAATAAACCATAGTATTTATTAAATTTATCTATTTATTTATAACTTTAACCATCTTTTTCGTTTAATAAAAATAATTATAATTATATAATTATTTATAGTATAATTATTTTTAACCAAATTATTAAAAACAACTAATAATAAGTAATGAGCACATCACTTCCCGAGATCCACATTGACGTAGTCAGCGATGTGAGTTGTCCATGGTGTTACGTCGGTCGTCGTCGTCTTATTAATGCAATTACTCAACTTTCTACAACAAAGAAAATCACATACACATACCACCCATTTATAATAGACACAGGCACACAAAAAGATGGAGAAGAGTATATGGCGTACAACGTCCGGCGATGGGGAGGTGATGGTTGGGTATATTCAATGAAACGTGACTCGCTCAATGATGGGTGTACATTTAAAGCTTGGAAGTATTGGCCATATTCATTACACTGTCATCGTCTTATGTGGTATGCCAACACTGTAGGGAAAGGTGGTGAATTAATGGGTATCTTCTTCGAGATGAATTATGAGGAAGGAAAGAATTTGAGTGTGAAGAAAGGGTTGATGGAAGCTGCCGAGAGATGTGGACTCGACTTAAAAGAGGCGGAGAACATCATCGACGACCAAAGTGTGAATAAGAGGGAAGTGTTGAATGAATACCACAAATGGAGCGAAGACGGTGTCGGTGGAGTTCCTTTCTTTATCGTTCATCTTCCGAGTGGAAAAGAAGTCCAACTAGAAGGCGCAGTGTCCACTTCTAAATGGCTTAAAGTGCTTGGAAAATGAGTATTAATTCAACACTAATTCATTCATTTTATTATAATACAACTAAATAATAATAAAACAAACTAGGAAAACAATAAAAAAGGCAGAGGTTTCCAAAATCACAATCCTAATACCCACGTCACCATTTAAACCAAAATGAACATTTTTTCTTATAAATTTGTACGTTATAACACCACATTTTCTGCACTAATTATTTTGGAAACGCCTGAAAAAAGGTGTTGTTTAGTAATTAATATGACTTCCAATTGATATTAATTGATGATATTTAATTGAGAATAATAACTATTATTTTAATAAAAACATCTAAAATTGTATAGTTGTGCATTTCTAATTCGATAAACTTCTTTTGAAACGAATTTTTGATGTTTTATTCCTTTTAGATTTAAAAAATTAATAAAAACACTCAAATTATGTATGATTTTATTCATTTTTTAAATCAAAAAGGAAAATAACAAAAAAATTCGAGTTTGCCATCTAATCTAAATAAAAAAACAATTAATTTGGTGAAGTAGATTCTTTTGCATTTTATTTCTTTTGAAAAAAGAATGGGGTATACAAGAGAATGGCTATTTTAAAAAATATAAATAATTACCTGATTTATTAATTTAAAATAATTCATTATGTTAACTAAATGCTTTCAATTTATAAAATTATTTATGTCCAGGCATCTGGAGTGGTTTATAATATTTGTTTAGTATGACTATAGTAACTGAATTGTATAAATTATAATGTTATATAGCATTTGTTTTAGTAGATTAGTAGATTTTTAAATACATTTTTTTTAAATTTTATCTTTAAAACCAAATTCTCATCCTTTCTGTGTTAAAGAATGGGGCTACTTTTTATTGTACTCTTACAACAGATAATAGCAGCAAACACAAGTATGAACTGCACTTTTTCACAAACAATTAACACTATTTTAACACAAAAAGAGTCGTGTGTGTCTTCAAAACCTATTATTGTTAATTCAAAAGGAAAATTAATTGTTGTTGGTGATTCAGTGATAAAGAGTTTCGGTGATATAAACATCAATAACACTGGCATTTTAGAATTGTACGATGCGTCGATAATCAACTCAACATCGAATCTATTTTTAGAAATGAGGGGTGTTATTAACATGTTTAATTTTTCAAAATATCAAACACAAATATTCAACGTTATTTCTTTTAGCAATTTTTCTTTATTTGACAACTCACAACTTTTTGTATATAGCACGTTTAATATTATGTACAATGGAACTGTAACTCTTTTCAACTCATCAAAAGCTATGATTAACCAGCCATTGTTTGTATTATATGGATCAGCTCTAAAGTTACATGGAAATTCTGTTTTATATACAAAAGGTCAGACTGATTTAATTAATTATGTTAATATGTCACTCTTTGACGAGTCACAATTTAATTCAGTTTCTATGGTTGAACTAATGAATTTTGCAAGTATCAATTTATTCAATTCATCTCTAATAGTAGCACCCCTTTTAATGGGAGTTGATAATGGCGAGATATATATGCATGACTGTGCAACGATGCAAACTACCGCTGCCTTTTTTAATGGCAATGGACTTCTTTCTTTGGATGGAAAAGCTCTCTTCAATTCAACAATATTATCTTTCGATGTTGGAAATCTAAGAGTTTCAGAGAACTCACAAGTTCTAGCAGTGAACTTCTCAATGACAAGTTATTCTAAATTTCTTGTCACAAGCAAACAAATTGAAATCAAAATTTCAGCTCAAAATTTTGAGTGTCAAAACACAATTCTTGAAATCGACAGTAAAAGTTTCATTCAAGCCGAATATGTTAATATAACTGGTTGTACTTTAAAATCGCAACAAAGAAGTTATCACGATGTCCCACTTTTTAATGCACAAAAAGTTGTGTTACCATCCAAAATAGAGCAACTTGGAAATTGTGACTTAGTCTTTTCTGACTCGCAAATAATTGCAATTTTACCAAACAATTCGAATTACAAATTTTTGTTTGGAAGAAAATTACTCAGATATGGAGACTCTAACAACGTTTTCTGTCATTTAAACAACACTTTTCTAAGTAAAGAATATTTTATAGAACCGTATTGCCCATGTGATGAAAACTGCTTTATTACTCCAATTCATGAACTTCATGAAATTGTAGTCGATTTTCAAACAACAAGAAAACACGTGGAAGTGTTTAACCAAAGGCTGTTTTTAAATGATGAAGATAATGTCATACAAATTGAAGACAAATTATTTTCATTGTCAAATGTCGAAAGTGAAAATTTCACAATTACAGTAAAGTCGAAGTTCCAAGTGAAACTTCAAACATTTCATCTTATAAAAAGACTTTTGGTGGTATCAACTGCAAGTTTTGTGTTCGACAATTATTCATGCAAAATTGGACTTTTTGAGAACAACAAGTTCGTCTGTCTTCAAGACATTTCTTGCATTTCTGGTGGATTAAATGAAGCAACAAAAACATGTGAAAAGTGCCAGTTTACAAATTGTGATTTGTGTTCCACCTATTCATCTGACACGTGTTTAAAATGTTCGTCAGAGTTTCTTTTTATTGATGGAATTTGCCAACGAGAAGAGGGTTGTGTTATTACTAATGGTATGCATTGTATTAAATGTTCAGATGGATATTCACTTAAATTGGGGCATTGTATTAACCCTTTGAATAATTGTCAAGTTACTGTTACTTCTGAAATCTGTGAGTTGTGCGACCCCACTCAAAATTTACTCAACGTGAACGGAAAATGTGTACATCTTCCTTCAAATGTGTTACTTAAAAGTGACTCAACTGTTCTTTCTTGTACAATTGGATATCTTACAAATGGCACTTTTTGTAATTTGTGTGACTCTTTATATTCCAAAAGTGAGTATTGTGAAAAAGACAAAGTTACAAAGTGTTTGATAGATAATACATTCGATGAAAGTGGCACTTGTGTATCAACTTTTTGTGATTCTTACACAACAGATAGTAACGGTCTATGTCTCTCCACCACCATTCCTTTTTGTTCAACTTCGGTAAATAAAAAATGCATTTTATGCAATTCAAATTTTTATTTAGAAGACAATGGAAGTTGTGTTTCTATTGTCTCATCGAATTCAACATGTTCCGCCCCATCCAAATATGGGTGTCTTCGTTGTAAGCCTGGATATTACAAATCCACTGTTACTAATGAATGCGAAGAGTGCAGTTCGTCTTGTTTAACATGTTTTGAAAATTCGAGTAAATGCACCAAATGTCCAACTGGTTTATATTTAAGTCAAAATACATGTGTATCTCATGACTTAGTAAAGGATAGTTGTTGTATATTTTCTGTTGATGGCAACGGTTGTTTGCAATGTAACACTGGTTTTTACAGAGTAGGTCTTGACTGTTTTAAATGTGAAGAGAAGTGTGGGTCATGTAACACTAAAACAGGGTGTTTGACTTGTAACACGACAAATTATAAAACTTCAAACAATGATTGTTTACCTCGAAACTCGCTTTTGGGGTGTTCAGTAAGTGTAACTACAAATGGTTGTTCGACATGTTCAAATGGATTTTATATTGTCAACGGCAATCAATGTGAAAAATGCAACTCTTCATGTGAGACGTGTTACTCCAAAACCCAATGCACAAGTTGTATAAAAAACAATGTTTTATCCAATCAAAGATGTGTAAATTTCACAACAATTAAAAAGTGTATAAAATCAAAAGATTCAAAATGTTCTAAATGTTCATTCTGGAGTGTCCCAAACATTATTGGCGACTTTTGTCAAAGTTCGCCAGTGTGGTGGGTCATTGTTATGATTGTTTTGTTTGCTGCTTTTATTCTATTTTTGCTCATTCTTGTTGTGTTTGAAGGTGTCAAGACTATACAACGAAAAATGAATAAAAATCCAACTACAACTATATTCCACATGAAAAATTCTAATGTCCGATTCACTACCATTCGAGGTGGATTGTGCTGTAATTTATCAGAAATTGATTTCAACAGTGAAATAGAAGAGATACCAGTCGACAAAGAAATTCGACAACTTCTTTGTGTTGGCAATTCAAAAGAACGTGCTGTTAAAATTCAGTTTACACTAAAAGAGCAGAATGAGAAATTTCGACTCCGGATGAACCCAGAAATAGTCACATTAAAACGAGGCTATGCGTGTGAAGTTGAAATTCTTTTATTAATTCGGTGTACACTTAAAATTAAAAGTGAGGTGTTGATAGTCTCTAAAAATTTACAAAGTAATTTGGACATTTTTAATTCGATCAGAGTCAAAGCCAAAAGTGAGATATCCACAAAGTTGGATCCCGACGAAATAACACTAGAAAACGAACTTGGTTCGGGCTCTTTTGGTGTAGTTTACAAAGGAAAATTCAGAGGAAATGTCGTGGCAGTAAAAAAGATGCGACGGATCATTTCTGATGATTTTGACCAAATGAAGGAATTTATGAAAGAAGTGAACATGCTTGCTAAATTTAGAAGTGAATATATTGTTCATTTCTATGGCGCGGTTTTTATTCCAAATAAAATTTGTGTAGTCACTGAATTTGCTGCATATGGTTCTTTGTTTGGAGTGATTAAAAGAGAGGAGAAAATTGAATTAAAAGTATTAATACGAATGTTGTTGAATGCAGCAAGAGGACTTGAGTATTTACATTTAAATGGAATATTACACAGAGACATCAAACCAGACAACATTCTCATATTCTCATTCAATGTGAATGAAAAGGCTAATGCAAAATTGACCGACTTTGGGAGTGCAAGAAATGTAAATATGATGATGACTAACATGACTTTCACCAATGGCATTGGTACACCAGCATATATGGCTCCAGAAATATTCTCAAAAGATAAGTATAAAATGCCAGCAGATATCTATTCGTTTGGAATGACAATGTACGAGTGTTTGAATGGAAAGTTTGCATATCAAAGTGACACTTTTAAATACCCATGGAATGTTGTGAATTTTGTAACTAAAGGTAATCGAATGCAAAAACCTGATACAATCGGTGATAAGGAATTCGAAATTATAAAAATGTGTTGGAAACAAAAAGCAGAAGAACGAATTAAAGTTGAAGACCTTGTGGAAAGACTTGAAAACTTGTTTGTGTAATCGTGTTTTTATTTTAAACTTGATGTTAGATTTTGGTTCATTTGATAATTTATTAAAGTTTACATTTTAGATAAATTTTTATGGATTAAATTGTTATATTTTTGATTATTTAATTTATTAAATACTATAAAAACTATTTATAATTAACTATATAATATTAATATATTTAACTATATTTTTTAATTTGTTTTTATGGAAAAATAATCAAAAACAACAATATAATAACCGGATTCAACTGGTGGCTAGCCCGTGTTAATTTTTAAATATTTTCAGCCAGAATTTGTGTTTGGAACTATTATTATTAATTTGTTCAATAAATTAATTAGGATTTGTCAGCCAGTAGTGAAAAAAACTGGCTAGCCGCAAAATCGTCCAAACTATACACATTCTAAAATGATGGTAAAAAAGAAAACCATTTAAATAATGAGGAATAGAAAGTATAGTTTCATGTAATTTTGAAAAGCCATAACAAATCTCCATGTTTTTTAATAGTTTTAAAACGTAGTAAATTAACCAAATGGTAATAGTTTGTTGTTTGTGTCAAACAAAAAATACTTAACACTTTCACAACCCAAAACTTTTTTTTAAGAAGAAAAATAAGTAAAAAGGAAATTGTCCAAATCATTTTTTATTATTTTTTATTCAAAAACCCCTTTCTAAACCAAACCGGCCAATAGTCAGTTTTATTTTACTTAAAATACTTAACAAATGAGAACTCAATTAACTAAGATTGTTCAAAAATAATCTTTTTGGATGAAATTTCATATCGCTTTTTAATGTTTCATTATTTAAAATAAAAAACGCTACATCGTCAATCCACTTAATAACAAACAACGTCAAATAGTCACATTAATAAATATAACGACTACATAAACACTAATCTTCATAATCAAATGACAAAATACTCTTTATAAAAAAACAACCAAATATATCAAACCATCATTAGACCCCATCTTTCTTTTTAAGCTTTGCTCTTGTTTTACACAAACAAACTCATTCATGTTTATTTGTGTGACTATAAAATATACAATTCAAATTTGAGTTGATACAAAAATAAATAAAAAATTTCAAAAAATTGTTTTGTGTATGAAGGCAAAAAAAGGGTTTAGGTAAAAGAAAAAAATAAAAACTTATTATTATTACGTTTCTGTTTTGAACATGTTTAGTAAATTATGATAAAAATAATTATTTATTCAGAAATAAAAAACACAGAAAACAAAAAGACAAAAAACAATATGTGTTACCATTTTATTTTGTGTTTTTTATAAATGTTTATTTATGTAAAATTGTAATGTATCACAACCACTATTTCGAATAATTTATATAACAAAAATATGAACATTTAATTGTTTGATGTATTGTGTTTTCATCAACAGACATACTTGTTTTTTATGTAATAACAATTAGGGTTTTTGAAATGTTTTAATTAAATATTGTACAAAACGATGTACAACTTGTAAAAGCAAGTAGATCGTTATTTGACATGTACGCAAAATACATATTTAAATAATTTACCTGAATCTAACACGTTTTGAATTTAAAATAAAAAGAAAAATGTTATAATATTCAACATTAACAATTTGTTTAAAATAATAATTGATAATATAATAGTATAACATTAAACACAAATTTCAACGACCATTTAAATGTGTTTGGATAGGGATTATACATATAACTAATTATAAATAATATGTATTTTTAAAATGACATAAATTGTTTTTGTGAGTCAAAACAAATTGTTATATTATGTACAACTCGATCCAAAGTTGTTAACAACTTGTATTGAATTTTAAATAAAAACTGTTATTGTTTTTCATTATCAAATGTGCTGTTAAGAACACAACGAAATGAACATTAAAATAAAAAAATAAATTTATATGGTATCGTGCAACCTTGTAATGTCAATATATATATCATAATTTTTATATAATGTAACAAACTGTTATAATAAATTAATTTGTGTTAAATTTTCAAATCACTTTATTCTATATTTTAGTTTTAATAATGATGATATTTAAATTGAGAAATAAATAAAAACCCTTTTAGTGTTTTATTTGATACACTGATTCATGTTTAATGAATACAATATAACATTGATTACTTTAAGGTTTAAACAAGTTAAATTATATGTCATGTTCTAACACAAAATGTAATGACAACACTTTTATTTTACTTTATTCCAATAACATTTTCCTATTATTTATTTATGCCATCCAACCACACATGTTCTCAAAAACTTATTTGTTTTATTTTTCTTTAGTTTTTGGTTTTAAACATTTAATTTTTTATTTGTTTTTTTTGGTAATAATTTGTTTTTCAAAACACCTTTGGTCTTATTATTTGAAGAACCAAATAAAGTTCAGTTTTGATCATATTATCCAAAAACCTTCCCAAAATAGCATTTTTAAATTTTATGATTATTTTCATTAAATTGAGCAAAAAAAATCTTTTGTGAACAGGATTATTTATTTTATCCAAAAAGATAAAATACCATTATTTCTTTTTCAAAAAACGATTATTTAATTGAGGTTTGCAGCCCTGATAATAACATACTATGCAATTATAAAAAAGTCATTCTGTGAATCTTTTGTATTTATAGAAAAAAAAATGCAAATAATTTTGTAATTGAAAATATTTTTCACATGGTAGTGAGTGATATAAAACAGTTTTAAATTTAAAGGTGTTAAATAAATGAATACAAATAATTAAACGAAGGTTGGGATAGATTTGTAAACAACACAATTCAGTGTTAACATCAGTATAATGTTGTTTGATTATTCAAAATAACACCTCTCACCGAAGTCTTCGCAGGTAAAAGGAGTGTATTAAAACACGACAAAAGTTTGTGATTGCCGTTAATTACAAGCAATTGATCAATTGAATACAAGTGAGAAATTAACAAGTCCATATTATCAATTTAAAGGTGTTTATACTCTATAATGCCATGTCAAAAATAATTATATCCGTTTAGCATTTTATTATAAATATAATGTTAGTAATAAAATAATTAAAACGATGTAATCTATCAATCATACCTTTGTGACTCTTTTTGTGTTTTTTCTCCCCATTTTTTTCTTGTTTTTTTCTGTATAATCATCAATCTTTTTGTGTATTTTATCTGTTTGTGGATGTTAACATTTATTTTTACAATACTTGTTAGTTTGTTGTTATACCATTTTGTAATTTATGTAATTTTCATTTGTTGTATGTATTCATTTTGATAGATCATCCATTTCGATTTAATTATGCAACTTTTAATCCAAATAAAATTGTTGATATTGGTAAGTCATAACCGAGTTGTTTAGTATCATTTTCTTCAATAATTTTAAACAACATAGAGGGAAGACTTTCAAAGTCTTTATGGCACACCCAGGCGCTTATCATATTTACCGTTTTACTAATTACAATAAGATTGTATTTTTCCAAAAGCAAGCCATTTGATTGTAAGCGCCTATACTTGCTTTGGATATATGAGTGTATGAGAGATCACAGAGATACATTTATGATTGCATTGTGTTGCGTAACACTCTCTAAGCAGTTAGTTTTTCCGATAATAAAAAGGAAGAAACAACTTATTCACAATATGTTTAAAATATAAAATTATTTCTTTATACATGGCTTTTTTTCCCCTTTTTTATTTTTTGTTTTTATCATAAATTCATAATATAAACAACCATATTCTAACCTAAAATACAATCATGTTGTATCTTTATACATGAAATCATTGCTTTTTAGTTTTAGGGTTTTGTAATTTATTCAATTAGTGTTGCATTGTTTGTGTTGTTTCAAATAAAGATTAACTCAAAATGCTCAAATTATTCATATTGTTAAATCTAAAATTACTCAAATAATGCAGTGGAGTCACTTTCATGACTATTAACATGGTTAATCAAAAGCCTCTTTATTAAATCGTCCAACCCCAAAACTGCATCTTGTATTTTGATAAATCTGATTTTCTGACCAAAATTGAAATTGTTGGTTGGGGTTTTTGCAACAAACAGTTTTTTGGGGAACACTGAAAAAAAATCTATTTGAAATCCAATTGTTGGAGAAAAGTCCAACAATTGCCAAATAAACCGTTGTAATTCAGCATATTATTAAAATATAATAAATGTAAAATATCAGGTTTTTACGCACCAAAAAATACTTATTACTTTTAAATATATTTACTATTTTATAAAAATCTGTTTATACTTAAAGAGTGTTAACGTGATATGGCGTATCCACACGGAAATGGTGAATCCCTGCGGATTGGATTATTTTGTGTGGATAGCCTCTTATTTTTTTGTCGAAAAAAAACCCAAATATTCGTTTTAAACCATATGTTATGATTTTATAAAATAATAATTGTTATTTATAATCATTTATGGGACAAAAATGATACACAAACATGAATACCCCCATAAGGAGTATTTCCAATATTTGCAATAATTTCATAGTAAAAAAACGCTATTTTCAGCCTTTTTGAAGTGGTAAAATAAGAATAGATCAAAATGAACAAATAAAATTACTAACAAAATTTATGTGTATTATCCCGTTTATTTGATATATGTAACACTATTTTTTTCGTTTTTTAATTGAAAAAATATTTCAAAAGTGATTTATGTGATTACAATCTGGGAAATTTCCCATTTTTGCATTAAAAAAAGATTTATTTTAAATATCAATTAACAATTATATTATTTTTTTGTTAATCGTGGTTCAAAAATGCATTTATTATCACTTTTTACTAATAGTATTGTAATATATATAAACATTCCATTGGTTTATTATTTTAATAATAATATTTGAAAATTGAAATATGTTAAATATAGTTCTTTTAGTTGGCGCAAATTATACGTATAAAGACGGGTATTACATCCTAAATAATATTCTGGTTTTGTTGAAAATGTTAAAGACAAAGGTTTTATGTCTATACTAAACTATTAATTAATAACAATAAATTATATTACAATAGTACATTAGTTATTAACATAAAAATGACAGAATAATCACAAAAC